AAAAAAGTACTGCGAGGTCTCGCGACCCATCCAAGACGTGGCGTGGCGACACAACAGACAAGTACCCAGGTGTCGTGATGGACACTTCTCTCGGCAATGTACGAGAGGTCTTCAACGACAATCTTGGGGTGGGTCAGAAAACACAAGGCGTTGCGAGGAAGCATGATATCAAATTCATGACCAACAGACGTGAAGCTCTCAGCTCGAGGAAAGAAAAAGCCAGAATAAAAACGGGTTCAAACGAAAGGGATGATCGCCTAGTCAAAAGAGGACTGCTACTCGGCACAATCCACAACCTTCCGCCAACGCCACCCAATGAGTCCCGAGCCGTCGTACAAATACACTGACACAAGCTGGGCCTAGGCAGCCCGAGTATCGCCAAAGGGATAGTAGCGGAGCTAGACGGCGCCTTTGCCTGACCTATACCTCCCCTCCTTCCTCTCTCGGACGCAAGCGAGCTGGCTCAGCGGTAGCCTCCACTATGTGCAGTCACCCCATGCTACCATGGGTGACTACACCGTGGTGCAGTCCCGCTTCCGACTTGTCCTGAACGGAGCAAACCAAAGCCAGACAAGGATAGTATCCCGCGCAGACAAGCTGGGATGCGGAAACAGGACCCTCCCTTACAGGTGGTTCCTGGTCCTCGTCTTTTCCATGTCTTGAGTCTGAGCTGACAACACATCCGGAAAGAAGATAAAAAAAAAAAAAATAACCAAGATAGGCTTCCACCAATCACTCCTCCTCGCGCTTGATGTTGACACCCCCATGGCCAACCTGCTGGGCGCCGTCGTCGACAGGGGCGCGGGGTCCGAGCATCCAGTCCTGCATGGCCAACCACTCACTCCAGCTGGCCTCTGCTCCCTGGATCTCAAGCTCGGTGACGTTCTGAAGCGGTTTCAGAAAGGGGACCATCTGCCCCTCATCCATGTCGTAACTTGTCTTGACTCGGAGCCAGCTGTCGCTCTTGGCCGCGAAGAGGTAGTTGCGGCGCTCAGCCTCGTGCAGCGGCCCGACCCCGATGGCCCAGTCGTCCCCGAAGAAGCCATGAAGGACGGCCGGGACGTCGAAGCCGGTGGCCACAAGCCGTCGGATGTAGGGCGTCAGGGTGCAGTACGATACCGCCTGCGCCACATGTCGCGGGTCCGCCTCTCCCAGCATCCCGGACGGCTGCGGCAGGCCCAGTGACAGCTTCCCGGCCGCCCGAGCGGACGAAGGCCCGACTCCTGCTGCCCCGCCCGGTCCCAGGGGCGTGGGTGGCGACGCCGTGGGCCTCGACGATATGGTCGGGTTGTGCGCCTTCTGGAAGGGCAGCTGGATGTTGATGAAGGCGGCGACGGCCTGCACCGGGCCCGTGTGTTGCGCGTGGTCCAGGAAGTAACGCACACACGACTCGAACTGGTTGTGCCACTCAAAAATATCGAACTGTCCATCAGCGAACGGCTGTGCCGCGAGAATGGGGAGAGACGAGAAGAAGGAGGAGTTAGTCTGGCTCAAGCGCTGCGGCTCAACGACTCTGCAAGGGATGGGTGGGCAGAGGCCGCGGTACAGCCGAAGTTTCCGGCGGCGAAACAGAAGGACCAGATAACGAAGGGACAGGGCGGTTTGCAAGAGCCAACAAACATGTTCTTTACCTGAGCATGATGGAAGGGCGGTCCGCCGCCGGGATGAGGGAACGCCATGATTCTGACGCTTTGTCGTGTGGACTGGGTTCAAGCCTCGACGTGGTGGGAACGGGGAGATCGGCAGCTGGACCGAGAGGGCGGCAGGTCGGGTTGATATCGAGAGGATCCCTTTATGCCCCCCCAGGTAAATACCCCGCATAAAGGGGCTGGGGTGACGGTCCGGCGTGTCTAACAACACGCCAAGGGCCGCGAAAGGAGGCCGGCCGTTGGGGTAGCTACGTAGGTGCGTGCGTGCCCTCGTTGGCTCGCACGGACAACAGCTCCGGAGCTATCGGATAAGGGTAAAGTCAGGTTGCCAGACAAGGGGGGCGGCGGCCGGCTCTGCCGTGGTATTATCGCGTGGTGCTGCAGATGCGAAGCTCCGGCCTCCCGTCGGCGTATAGCTCGGGTTTCTTGAGGATGTCTGGTGGGCTGGTAGGCAGGTAAGGAGGTACGGCGCAGTAGCAGGACTGGAACGTGGATCAGGCGGTACCGTTGTTGCGCGCTACAGGTGCTAGGAGCTAGGAGGGCGGTTGAAAAAAAAAAGGGGGTGTTGGGATAAGCACGGTAGCTGAGGGAGGTAGGGAGGTACGTAGGGGAGCAGTCAAGAGCGGCAGGCAGGTAGGGGTGCGGTGACACTCCGAGGAGGGGGGTGACACTGGAGCCCGATTGTTTTGGGAAAGGGGGGTGGAGAAAGGGCGGGAAGTGGAATTTGTGGGTGTGATGTGCCCCCTTGGTTGATATTCCAGAAAGGACGGGGCCAGGACGAGGAAGGAGGGGCACATGGAGTATGTACTTATATCCTCGTCGGGGTTGACTTTTATGCTTCTTCTTTTTTTTCTTTGCCTTGTCGACTTACCAGCCATGGGAAGACGCAGGACACTGGGGGAGGCCAAGTTTGAGAGGCCCTGGCCGAGGGTATGCGTGCGCCACTGGCGTGCGGGCGGGAGAAGGAGAGACAGAGGGCCCGATCACGGCTTCGTGATGAGGACCAGATCGTCACCCACTAGAATACGATGATGCGCATGGCCAAAGGCGGGAACAAGCGAGAGTTCCCAAGTGCGGAAACAGGAGGGCGTGGACCGGGGAGGCAAATCGGAAGTGCGAACGAGAGGGGGAGTGTGGGAGTGGGAAGCAGCTAAAAAAAAAAAAAAAAAAAGGTAAACGAGGAAGGTAGCGCGCAGATCAAGATCAAGAGGGTGAATAGTGGCAAGTGGGCCCATGACAGGGAAGGAGAGAGCGAAAGGATATATCCTGAGGTGAGAAGAGAGTGACGGTCGTATATGCGCTTCGGGGTAGCCGGTACATCGGCGCCCCTTGGTCTATACCGACCAGGCCCCCTAGCTCTGTGCGGCCCTCCCGAAAGGAGAAGTGTGTGTCGGCTGGCACTGAGGCGGGCTCCGCAGCCGCTCGACCTACAGGACGCCGCGGAGAGGGCATGTATTAGTGGAGGCGTGCGTCTTGAATATGGGAGGGAAAGAGACGTCCTGGTCCTGGGCGAGGGTATCTGGGCGACGGCGGCGGCGGCGGGGGTACGTACCCCGGGGCCCAGAAGTTACCTAGTTGGACGCACCTCTCACCTCATGCGTGGCCGGTGCGAGCCGAGCTCGTCCAGTCGCGATGCGGGCACACTAGTCAGGACGAGGCCAGGGTCACGAACCGGACAAACGCCCATGGTTATGTGGGAACCAGGGAGGAAGCCCGGGGCTGCAAGCAATAGGTGGCGGCAACAAACGGAGGGAGCAAGGGACGGGAGCAAACCACGGGGAGGGGATTGGAAGTACCAACCACGCAAAGGCTACACCTACCCCAGTCTCGGTTTGCTAGAGACGGGGTGTGTGGTGTACGTATGTAGGTGACGGGAGGGCGCAGAGGGATCACCTTGTGCCAAAGACAAAGGGAAGAGAAGAGAAGGCAGGGGGGGGGGAAAAGAAAGAAAAATAATAATAATAAAAGAAAAGAATGAAAATAGAAACGATGCAACTAGTTCCGTCACATCCCGTCACCCGTCGTCCATCATTCGTCGCCCTTGCTTTTTGCCTGTCCTCGTACAGCAGACGCCATGTACGACAGCGCTACCAGTACGCCTTTGGGGGTCCTCGACCGTCCCGCCAGCCCCTACAGGAGACACCTTGGCTAGTAACCTTGACTAGTAACCTTGGCTAGTAACCCAGGTAGGTAAACATGTCGCAGAGGTACATATCAGCTCTCTCTCTCTCTCTTTCCAGAGTCGGTGGGTTCCAGCATGATGGAGGGGCAACAGGGGATCAGCACCAGGGATTGAAGCTTCAAAACACCAGACGCTTGTGTCGTGCTAGCAGCAGACACCCCCCATGGACCCCCAGCAATCCATGTCGGCAAACGTTGGGCAAGGGAAGCCGGATGACAGGTGGATACCTGGGGGTTCAGTGGCTGGGAGGCCGTGCGGTTGAGTGTCCACCAGGGTCATTAGCCGAGTAGGCACTCAATTCAAAGCACGCAGGTACTGCCATTGCCATTGCCATTGCCTCACTGGGGTGGCAGCCACCAAACAACCTAACCTTCAACGCCACGCTCATTCTCGTACCATCGCCGCCCGCGATACCATTTTGAGCCCGGGCGCCCACCGGGAGTTGACATGCACCAAACGATGGACCGCCGCCACTGGGACCGATGAGCGGTGGAAAAGGTAGCGTGGGAGCTTGCGCGGCGGCGGCGGCGGTGGCTGTTTGCGAGCAGGAGATGCATGGCTCCCTCCTGTATCCCTGCAGGAACAACACGGGAAAGAGAAAGAAGCAAAGAAAAAAAAGCAAAGAAAAAAAAAAAAAGGAAACCAGTTCGTTCGTCCTCGGCCCGTCTCGGGGGAGGGAGGCAGCCCCCTCACCCAGGACAGGCGCCGCCCAGGCGCAGCAAGCGTGTTGTCAAAATGCGCCGCGGGTCAGGGGACACCGCTGTTGCGAGCGGAGAAGACAGCACACATGGCAAAGCCTACACCCCATCGCGCGGCACGGCCGCGCCCCCCAAATACCAGTGACGGCGCTTGCGTGGTGTGGCTGCAGTTGGATACCACCGAGGCAGGTACCTACCTCTAGGTTAGAGGGGAGAAGGTAGAGGTAGGCAGGTTGATAGGTATCGTCGACACATGTCCCACAGTACCGACCGGCCTACCACAACACGTAGAGGTACCCACAAAGAATCATGTCCCGTGTCCCGCACCCGCGCTGATGCAGTCCATAGAGGGTAGCAAAGTGTTGGGCCGGCCGGCTGGCGGGGGAGGCGGTCTGGAGGAGGGCATTTCGCAAGGAGGCCCGGGCGCCAGCAGCTCCCAGTCCTCCCTTCTCCTCTGCCTCTGCCCATCAACCCCCCTCTTGACGCGCAGCAATGATCCCGCTCCGTGGTGGGTTCGGGCTTGCTCTACTTGCTGATCTAACAAAGGTCTCCCCCCACCCAAGGACTCGAGTTCGAGGCGGCCGAGCTGGCATCCCGGGAAACCCGCTAGCCAATCGATTCGGAAATACCGAGTTTCCTCACCATCACCGGGGGAGAAGGACACCCGCCGAGTGCCAGACACCTGTCCCTCCCGGTGCTGCGCACGACCATGTCCTCGCATGCCCCGATATGAGACACTGCTACGTAGGCACCCAACATACAATATAGGGGAGTAGGTATGTTGTGTGGCTATCATGGAACATGCAGTCAACCAGAATTATGCACAGTCTACTTGTAGTTTTTCAGCCAACGTTGCTGATGCTTGATCCCTCCACCTATGTGTGTGTACTCTCAACACTCACAGGAGACGGCGAGGCGAGGAACATGGCAGCGCACAAGCGTGCTCGCTCACACCCACCCAGCCTTGCTAGGGGGCAAGCTGACAAAGGACATGGGAAGCACATGTCTCAGAGAAGGTCCCTCAAAGCTCAACGGTGAGCCGGTGTCGACTAGGGTGACCTCCATGCACGCATGCGTGCGCCAACCAGGGACCCGGATCGGCCTGCAGATCTCAGCGGCATCGTCCCAACCTATTGCGAGCAGACTGGGCTAGGCCGGCTGCCACATCAAAAAGCCCTATCTCCGCTCCCGGCCGGCGAGGGCGGAACAAGAAAAGAAAGGAAAAGAATAGAAAAGAAAAGAAAAGAAAAGAAAAAGGCTGTAGGGATGCGTGCGTTCTGCAAGGCCACAGTGACGGCGAGAGCGTGTGTCACAGTAATATGTCTTTATCTTACCCAAGCCCGTGGGCCTCCCTGAAAACACCTCGCATCCGGATACTCCTTGCCCGGGCGGCGGCGGCCGAGCAGCGTTTTCAGTGGCGCATGGCAAGTAGTGTGCTTGAGTGTGCTTGACGAGGTCGCTGGAGCTGGCCCCGAGCTGTGACGCTCGGCTCGGGGGCAGAAAGGAGCACGGATTGGAAACGCGCCAGGGCCCCATCTCGTCGAATTGGTGGCGCCAGGCGGTGGAGGTGGGAGGTGGGGTGTGGGTGGGCTTTGGAGAGGTGGTGCAACCAGAAAGCGTGCGAAATCGGGCTATCATTTGTGACAAGTCGCGTCTCCCCCAGTTTTTGTTCCAGTGCTTACAACTTCAGATCTGGGAGGCCCTGTGAGCGAGCCGTGCTTCCGTCCAGTGCCGAGATCCCAAAACACCGGATGGGTGCAACCCAGCACCAACCTCCAAAAAAAAATCCGCACACGTTATATTTTCCCCACCCAAACTCTATAGAAAAAACATCAAGAGAAAATCAATTCAATTGATTGCAATGCCTC